TACCAGAAAAATTGTTGTAAAGTGGACAAAGAAGGAGGAGAAGTAAGCGCAGTAGAAGAAGCAGCAGTAGATGAAGGCAAAGACAAAGCAGGAGGTGAAGTAAAATGATATAAACCATTGGCATGATATCCTTTGTGAAGAATAGCCTTAGAAACTTTGTCCTGAATTGCAAAGGAAGAGTGATCAAAAATGATAGAGCAATTGTTGTCTTTTGCTAATTGTTGTACTGAAAGAAGATTAGATGAAATGGTAGGAACATGAAGAACTTTGTTAAGCTTAAAGGAATGATGTGGAGTTGGCAAAATACCTTTCCCAGTGTTGTGAATGGGGAGAGAGTCACCATTGCCAATAGTAACTTGGTCAGAACTAGAGTAAGGCTGATAGGAGTTTAAACGATGAAGGTCATTTGTCACATGTTCAGAGGCAGCAGAATCCAGAAACCAAGGTGTGGAGGGCTGAGATGTAGTATCATCAGTCATGGAGGCAACATAAGCTTTGGAATGAGTTTGGGCGTGAGAGTGATGAGAAAAGATAACTGTGACTGAAAATCAAAATCCAGTCAATGCCAGCAATCCAAGGCAGAGTGGTTAAGTTTACCACAGATTTGACAAACAGAACCAAAATTTGATTTACCAGAACCAAAATCTGATCTATCGGATCTGCCACGAGTTGAAGATCTGGCTCTGAAGGTTGAAGAGCTGCCTGGACCAGATCTGTACGACCCTCGGTAGGAACCTCTTGAGTCATGGCGAGAAAAACCGCGTTTATTGTGATAAGAAGTGAAACCTTTGGATAATGGAGAATCCTTCATTGTTGCATAGGCAATAGTAAGAGCAGAGGACTGCTTTATTTTTCCTTCAATATGAATTTCTTCTGAACATAGTAAGGATGAAAGCTCATCCATGGATATGCTTTCTGATCTTGCTCGAATTGCAGTTTTGAAGGAATCATATTCCGCAGGTAAGCCATTCAAAGTAATAAGAACAATATCTTCATCTTCAAGAGGTGAGGAAGCAATGTTAAGTTGATCAACAAGAGTTTTAATGCTTCTGAGATATACCTCCATTGAGTCAGAATTTTTCGAGACGGAGTTTAATTTGTTCTTAAGCTGATGAATATGCGATCTTGATAGAGTTGTAAATCGTTTGCCTAATGCAAACCAAATCTCTGAACTAGTTTGAAGATGAAGAATAGTGGTGAAGATAACAGGTGAGAGTGTGGCTGTAATGCAGCTTATTAAATGTGCATCAATTATCTTCCACTGAAGTGCTTCAGGATTGCACATTTTTACACCAGATGAATTGCAGATACAGTCCTCTGGACATGGATACGAGCCATCAACAAACTTCAGCAGATCGGTAGCGCGAAGAATGTTCTTCATTTGATGGCTCCAGATAATGAAATTTGTATTATTTAGTTTTACAGTCACAAGAGAACTCAGATTAGAGACTAGCATGTTGAGATTCGAAGAGATTGTAGTTGAAGACGATGTTGAAGATGATGGAATCGTCATTGGAGAGGATGCCATTAGAGAGATGCTCGTTGGAGCTTTATTGCTCTGATACCATGAAGAATTGTTGCTGTTGAATTATATTTTCATAATATCCTCTGCTCACTTACAATGATATATATATACATATCAGATACAATGCTAACAATCCTAACTAATTAACCACCTCTAACTAACTCTGTTATAACTAACCATTTCTAACTAACTCTGTTACAGTACCATGAAGAATTGTTGCTATTAAATTATATTTTCATAATATCCTCTGCTCACTTACAATGATATATATATACATATCAGATACAATGCTAACAATCCTAACTAATTAACCACCTCTAACTAACTCTGTTATAACTAACCATTTCTAACTAACTCTGTTACAGCATATGATCATATGTGACATAGTACACCATATACTAAACTACGACTCTGCTGGATTATGAGCTGCTGCAGATGGTTGATCTTCTGGATTTATGATCTGTCTACTGGATTTATGATCTGCTGCAGAGGGTTCGCTATCAATGTATTATTTTGTTATATTATTATTTGTAAAAAAGCTTGTTATTTAAATTATCAGATTCTACTTCTTCACTATATTTAATACTCATGCGAGAGTTATTGGCAAGGCCGAGAAATTAGGCTCTGATACCAATTTACGATATGATGGATCTAATTTAATATTAATTCATGGATCTAATTTACGAAGCGATAGTTCTAATTTAATATTAATTTTGTAATAATTTTTGTTGATAATCTGCACTTGTCTTTTCTAATGATATTTTATTTTTAAGACTAACAATTTTTTGACTATAATTTATTAGAGATTGTCCTGAAAGAATAGCTAAAAGAAAGTTTAAGCCAAGAAATTTCAAACTTTTAGAACTTTATGTTTTCTAAATAAGACCTAGTCGTTTAAATTTGGGATTCAATGTAGTTGCTTAGTCAACTTATCACCGGAGAATCGTGTCTATTCCAGAAGTAATAAGCATTGGCTAATTAAGATAGCTAAAGATTTTTTGAAAAGGCATCTATTATTTGAAATGTCTAAAATATTATTTTTTATTAAGTTTAATGACTATTATTTTTTTGTTAGTTTTATTTAATGAAAATAGATAGATAGTTTAGATTGAAAACAAATAAAAAAAATTAAATTTAAATTGACAAACTTAGAAACTTAGGATTTATTTTATTATAAGAGTCAAATCCTAGGATCTTTTTGTAATTTTTGATAGGGTAATTTTATTTGAACACTATACAAACTTTCGGTACATACCACAAATGATGTTTGGATATAAATTTATAAACAAAAATCAAATGTTCATAAACATAAAGTAATTATTCAGATATAAATAATTGAGCGGAATGTATATTTAAATAATTTGTTTTTGTTTATAACTTTAAATTTGAACATTTTACATTTATTCAGAAATTTATATCCAAACACTATTTGTAATGTAGACTGAAAATTTGTAATGTGTACTAAGCATTTGTTTAATGTGCAAATAAAATTTCCCTATTTATTATTCATAATTCTGAGTTGTTTTGACCAATTCTAAAGCATGGATGAGAAGGAATAGAAAACGTTTTGCAGATTAATATATATTATTATATGCTGTTTCGTCCTCCAAAAAAGAGAAGGAATAGAAAGACATTAGTAAACCAGTTAGTAAGCTGATTAGGGGTGTTTGGTGGTAGGTTTTTTTTTTTTTTTTTATAATCAACTTATAGATTGTAAAGGCAATTATTTTAGACTGTTTGTTTAAATTTATTTTCTTATTTTAACTACTTATTTTAACTCAAAAAAATTAATTCTGATAAGCTGCTCACCCTCTGTTTCTAATTATCAATTTTTTGTTGTGAGCATGTTATTTTATGAATATATCCTTAGAAATTGTTTTTTTTTTAAATAAAAAATAAAAAAGATCCAAATGGATTGTGGATCAAATTATTTTTTTATGAAAAATGTAGATTAACAGTGAATAACAAAAAATAAAAAATAATTCAATTCACAACTAACAAATGTTAATTCAATTTACTCATCAATTCACAAGGGTAAAAAGAACATTTACTCATCAAAAAGCTATTTCACTATTTATTTACCAAACATTACTTAACAACTTAAATCTATAATCCAATAGTTGCACCAAATAGATTAATAATTTCTAATTAAAGTTATAATGTATAATAAGTTAAGATATAATCTATATTCTATTTTAATAAATGCACCAAACACCCCATTGTCAATAGTTTTACTGTTCAATTTAGATCAATCCCTATGAAATGAGACCATTTTGAAAGGGAAAATACCCACAAACAGAATTTATACATTATAATCGAGGAGAATTCTTGTATATAAACCCACATATTATATGTATTCTTTGTCACGTTATTTTTTTTTAATTATAATCTGGAATTGGGGACACTGCTGCGCGGGGGTGCGCAGCAGCATCTGCTGTGCTCGGAAATGGGCCCATTTCGGGACTCATTTTGACAATCCGAACTGTTCACATTTTACAAGACACCAAGTAGAACATGCCTGTAAAAAATCAAATTAATCGGATATCGTTTACCCATTCATCCACTCACATTTCTATCTACAAAAATAAATAATAATTGTCATTTAAAGTATTAAAATAAATACAAATATGAGTTGATGAATAGGTAAACGATATCTGATTTACTTGATTTTTTGCAGGATGTTGTACTTGTTGTATTTTAAAATGTGAACGGCTCAAATTATCAAAATAGACCCTGAAATGGGCCCATTTCGCCGCACAGTAGATGCTGTTGCGCGCCCCGCGCAGCAGCATCCCCAAATTCATTAATTTTCTTCTTTAATTAAGACATTATTTTGAGATATTTAATTATGACGTTTTGCGTTTGGAAATGAATTTTTTTTAAAAAATTATAACTAAAAAAATGAAATTATACCATTTCCTCTTATAATTGTAAATTACATATTTACCCACTCCTCAAATCATAACTAAAATGGATGTCATATCAATCTGAACAAGATATCTATATAATTTTATTTATTTATTTATTTGTGTATAGCAATTCTCCAAACGCAAAATAGTGCTTTACTTTATTTTATTTTTATGTTTACAAGATTTATAATTGGTTTCATTTATTTTTATTTTTTTTCCTTTCTTTTACAACTCCACAATAATTCAAAGCATAAATATGGTTCATTTCAAGAAAATCAAGTAATTTGGTAGACGAGAAAATACCCAAAACATAAAAAATTTAAAAAAAGAAAAAGAAAATCAACTAACCTCCTTGTTTGGTTAATGAAAGCAAAAGGAAAAATATAACCTTGTTATGGGGAAAATAAGGGCTAAAATAGTGAGATTATCAATTTAGTCCAATTCCTTTAATTTTCTTTTCACCTTCAGGAGATAAACGAAATTGAAAATGGGCAACTGGAGAATATATCTTCTCTCCATGCTGCTTTCAATTTATTCTCATTTTAAAACACCGATCATAAGAAGGATTAATACAAAACGCCTTTTTTTTCAGTTAAATAGGTACATCCAAACAGGAAACTAATACAAAACGCCTATTTCCCATTTAAATAGGTAAATCCAAACAGCAAAGTAACTGGTTCGCCTTAGATTTGGCATAACTACAAAATTTATCTTTCTAATATGTGCCCAAATACAAGATAGCTTTGAAGAATTGTTCTAGGATTTATAGGCTTACCAAACAAACCATGTACCCCAAAAAAGAAAAAGAAAGAACAACAGATACATCTCTATTGATAGGTATGGCAATCAGAACGAGAGACATTCTTTATACAGTGATTTTGCAAATTTTTTTTTTTTTTTTTTTACAAAATCAAGAGAAAAGGAAAGGGCACATATTTCAGACCCCTAAACTGCAGTTGTGCAACAACTAAGAGAATTAAGATGAACCTGTCACCCCAGGGAAGAGTTCTGATATTTTATTGAAAACATCCATAACCTGCGACGATGACAAATAAGCAGAGTATGAAGTACCGTAAAATTCCATAAACCATCACTAATGCTATGTTTGTATGTTTGTTTCAATGGAAACCAGTTTCAACCAAAAAAAAATAATCCCAGAAAACATTTTCCTATGTTGTGTCCTTGAAACTAATGTACTAATTGTTGTATTAGTGGCGGAAGCGACAGTGGGATGGAGGTGGGGCGGTAGTGGCAGTGGAGCTGGTGGTGGCAATGATAGTATGGTGGTATTGGTAAGAGTTTAGTTTGGAAAATGTTTTTTGCGCAAATAAGCTTGTTTTCCGCCGTTGACCATGGAAAACATTTTCTATTAGACTTTTGCTTTCCATTGTACCAAAAGTCAGGAAGTGCAGAAAACATTTTCTACCCAAAGAAAAAATAGTGTGTAAGAGCAGAAGTAGCAAAAGCTCACACAACAGAAATAGACTATTAAAAAAAACGCTTTTTTTATGTTGATAAAACTTGTGAAAACCTGCTTGGAAGACTCGAGCAATTATTTCTTCCAAGTTTTTTTCCAAGCTAATTTTGCATGGCCAAAAAGAAAAAAAATCAGAGGTGATGGCCAAACATGAAATATAAACTTTGAGGCGTACATACCTCCTTGTCATTCTGATATTTTGCAATACTCAAAGGATTCTGCGAACACTGCAAAAAAATGAGTGTGTAAGAGAGAGCAAAGTTAGAATCAAGCAAGTACATCAATTAATTAGGGCATGGGCATACATCCATGATGGCTGCTTGAACTCTTGGATTTTGAAATGCCATGGCGACTTCGGGATTGGCCATAATTTTTGAAATAACTTCTTCAGGAGTAAGCCCAATTTGATCTGCAAAACACAAAATAAATTTAGTACTAAATCATGACAACAAGAGCAAGATCGTGAAATACAAGTAATATTTGATCTGCAAAACATAAAATGTAACAATAAAATAAATTTAGTACTGGATCATGACAACAAGAAGCAAGATCGTAAAACACAAAAACAAGCAAAGTCAGAAATCACAAATATCTATAGCATCCCTAGATTTAGACTAATCTAAGGAAAGCCTCACAGCTGGCACAAACATGTCCGCCTCCATTTTTCAATTGGTATCAAAGTAAGATCAACTTTTTTAATTACATTTGAATGACTGTCTAACACATGTTGGAGCATATCCAACGGTGTTGGCATATTACACATATGGAACACAAACACAGCATCCCAATTGGTATGTTTGTGCTCCCAAGGTGAAAAGGAAGCATTTTAATCTTTGGTACTATCATTTGCAAATCGCAATTCAGACCTGACAAAGCCAAATCAGATCCAAGTCAAATTCAACCAGTTCGAATCGAATTGTGTATCAATCAATTCACTTGCGATTTAGTCGATTCAGCCATGATATAGAAAGCTTAGGCCATTTGGGAAGAGGTTATAAGTAACATGCCTGTATCAAAAACTAGATCTAATTTAGAAAAAACAAAGGTCTAACTACCTACCCATATGAGTCAAAATCTTTTTTCTTTTTTTTTTCTATTTCTATAGATAGTTACTCTATAATAATTTAATTGCATGAAATTCAATCTCGGTTTGCAACTTAACAATAGGCATTTAGGAGAGTATACATTGGAACAAAGACACATCTCATTTTGGAACTTACCAAACTGCTGTTTCACCTCAGGACTCTGGAGATCAAAACTTTTCAAGGAATCCATCATGCGGTTATCCCATTCAGCGCCACCCCCCATGTTATTTCTGAAGAAATAAATACACATACATATCAAGAATATGAGAAGAAAAAAGTACGGAAAAAGAACTTCAATCAACCATGGACAGGCTAGCAATTTAGCAACGCATAATATAACAACAGTGTTAGCAACAAATTGCAATCTCACAAACATTATAGAAGGCGACTAAAAAATCCAGCAATAAAAACATAGATCATTAAAATTTATAATAATATATATATATACACACGAAAGGAACCATTAGAACAGATGTCCCTCTCCAGTTATAATGTACGCAATTGATATCAGGAATTGGCATCAAAAGATAGATGTTAAAACCTACCATCACCTACTACACCTACCACCACCTACTACCACCTACTACACACCTACCACTACCACTTACTACCACCTACTCCACTACATCTCCTATATAAGGAGCCCCTCACCATTTGTAATTTATAACATACAATCAATCAATAATACATCAATTTTAACATGGTATCAGAGCTAAGTTAAGAATTTAGTATTTTTTCGCGTCACCGGCGGGCGGCAGCCTCGCCTTGGCCACCCGCCGGACCTCAACCTAGTCCGCTAGAATTTTGCTACACATACCTTCACTCTGCTTCACCACCTTTGCCTCGCTTCTGAAATAAAAGACGGCCACCGCCCATTGCAGCAACTCAAACCATTGCTAGCTCGAATTGAGCCAACACTACTCGCCATTGGTGTTTCATGATGCATTTTTTTCCAAAGCTCCAAACACACAGATATCGGTCTTCGTAGTATTTTCCGGTACTCCGCGTCACAATCTTATCTGCCGATCTACCCATTCCACCCGAGCACCAAACCTGGATCTATCACAATTTTCAGTTGCCCCTGGCCAGCGACGACCACGCCGCCCACTCAACGCGGCGTTGGTCTGCCCAGATCATTTCTCACCCATTGTTCGTGCGGGCGATACGTGCTGCCAACCTGGCTTGGCTGTCCTGATTTCCCAGTCAAAGCTCTTGTCCTCATACAGCTCTCATCAGTGCTTCTACTGAGCACTGTGTATGGTGATGTGGTTGATTTGGTGAGCTGGGCACAGCCACCACACCACCAAAAGTGAGACTGGTACTTCTCTGGCTCATCTTCCATCAGAGTCGCCATGTATGCAGAAACATGGCCTCCATAGATGTATTTGCGGTGAACCTCAGCATCAAGTTGCTTACTGTCTTTACTGAAACCAGCAAACCTCTTGTCACTGTGAGGAATATCAAGCCCACCATCTAAGGCTCAAATTCCAAAGAACAAAATGCTAGGAATCTATAAAATGATGCAAATAAGTGGAACAATGTACTTACAACATGTCTTCGAGCTGTTGACGGTATTGTGGATTTTGTAGCATCCCTGTTGCAAAAGATATGTTCAGTGTGAAAGCAATTGATAATCAATAGAAGAATTTCTCTCTTGCATTACAACAACTAAGAGCTCTTATTAATTGATATTGTTAGTGTTGTGCATAAAAGTTAATCTGTGAGATATGGTTGAGACAATATTGTAAAACAATCTTATCATTTAATCAATAATAAAAGGTAAGTTTATAGTCATGTTTACTTTGTTGTGTTATTGTTTATATGATAAGTCCATAAAATTAAAAAGAGAAGACATTCTTAAGAGTTAAGAATCTGAGACCAATACTTCTCAGTATTTTATTCTTGTATGTTTCAGTCAGAGGATTGTTAAATGGGTGTCAATAATTTGGGACGACTACCACGTGTCATGTTGGCTCAATTGGAAGAGTGGCTAGTATCGAGAATTCCTCTCTCCTACACTTTAGTAAACTTGTGAAGTTTGAAGGTACCACACATTTGATATTTGCTTTGTGTGGATACTTTCATAGATTGGATAACTGAATGATTTTGGATTTGTGTAGACTCGAAGAATCAAGCAAGGAATTAGATTTAGCATTTGAGATATTTATGCTACCTATCTCTGTGGATAGTCAAATTTGAGTTTTGTATACATCAAAAACATGATCAAGGTGTTGGAATCAAAATATACATATATGTATCTCTGCGGATAGTCAAATTTGAGTTTTGTATACATCAAAAACATGATCAAGGTCTTGGAATCAAAATACATATATGATGTCCATACGATTCCTTTCCGTGGTATCAGAACTAGGTTTGTGATTTATGCAAAACACATAATTGTTGTCATAACAAGATTTAAATTTTGAATAAAAAAAAATTTGGGATTGCATGATATATCATTCAGTCACCATATGGTTTAATAAACCATAGTTTTATTTATTTTTTGGGTTCTTTGTTTCTATGAATTTATGTATATATGGTATACATGCATTGCATCTAAGAGCATAGAATGCTCTCGAAACAAAGCTACAAGAATTTGAATTAAAGAACCTGTTAAAATCCACCCACTACACCACTACCACCTCACCTACTCCACTAAACCTAACCCACTACACCACTATCACCTCCACTTCACCTACTCCACTAAACCTAACCCACTACACCACTACCACCTCCACTTCACCTACTCCACCTACCACCTACATGTATATATGGTATACATGCATTGTATCTAAGAGCATAGAATGCTCTCGAAACAAAGCTACAAGAATTTGAGTTAAAGAACCTATCAAGGGTATAACCAAATCCCTATTTTTGTTATACAGTTGAATTTTGTTACACTGATGAATTAAAGAACAAAGCTGCAAAGCTAAAAAGTTAATAAATATAAAGGAATAGATTAAAAACCATATATTGCATTTACTACAATTTATGGTAATTGAGAAAATCCGTTAGGCAGACAACTAGTTGGACCAAACAAAAATAATTCTGTATAACAGTGAACAAATAGAATTATAAAGGCATTGAAACATTACTGTGTAAAACTGATATATTATACTTGTATTTTCCAAATTGTTTCTAGCACTAATTTCAAGAAATGAAATTTCATTAGTCACTTCTTATTTACAGTATAACCAAATCCACACTTTTATAAGAGAAAGTGACAGAGAATAATGGACTAACATTTAAATGTAGCAGGATTCCTCATCTCCTCCGGTAGATATCTGCCAGGATACAAAATGAAGTATAATTCTTTTTCAAATTAGTAAGAAGCATATGGAACCTCAACCCATATGCAATACTGAATAACTGTATAACAAAAAGCACAAAATAGTTCCAAATAAGTCAAAAAGCAAGTTAGGAAATTGCCTAGAAAATTTATTTCAAAACAGAAGCAGAAGAGGATTACCACAAAGAAACACTACCTCATGAGAGGATTTTTAGGACAGCAATTATGAATGACATAATCAATGAGATCTCTTCCAAGCAGTAGACTTTTAATCATTTTTGCTTTGAAGGAAACGAAGTCACTTTATTAAGGGAACAAAGTATCCAAACTACAATTAGACAGGGAGGCAAAGTTAGCTAACACATGCAATAGTAGGGGCTCGGACTCACCTTTCTTACCCTCCCCTTTATATGTTCTATAAGCATTTACCCAACTGGCAAGAGGAAACATCAACACGTTTTGAGCAGTCACAACAGGTCTACAACAATAATTGAAAGGAATCTGCTCAAGCTAGTTGGGATACATCTAGATATGACCCTAAACTAATTTTTAGCCCTTGGGTAAAATTACATTACATCTCCTTGACAGGACTTCGACATACAAAACTCTGGCATACCATCCAGTGTCAAGAGAAAAATTACATGTTTGCCCACTACAATGGTTACATATTAATGCTCCACACTATGTGCATAAAAGATTGGGTTGGCACAAGACAAGAGAATGAGGGCATGGGCCGTGCTTTGAACTTCCCATACCTTCCTATATGTGCTGAACTGAGAAGTAAATCTGATGCTGTGAAAAAACAAAGAATCTGGGAATTTATTTTTATTTTTGATAAATAATCTGGGAATTAATCACTTGCACATGCCAAAAACATCAACAATTATTTATATTTCCATTATATACTAAAGCATCAACAAACTAACAACTTGCATTTGACACGAATGAAATTGAGGCAAGAGCTTAAATCTGAAACTTCACTAAGCCTAGGAGCACAAAAAGAACATAAAGATGAAAGTAATATTACGGATAAACCATCTTCTGCACTGTAGGATCTTCCATCATTTTTTCCAAAGCTTCCACTGACAAACCAGAACTCCCTTTTCCTGTCAATAAATGGATTAGAACTTCACTTGAGTTCTTCAGTTAAAAAGAATAAAACAATAACAATTGGGCTTTGTTTTAAATAGTTTTATGGGAAAAGCAAGAGTAAACAAATTGTGATAGTATTTCAAGCAAATTTGAAACCTGCAACTTTAGAAAATGAAGTCAGAACTCATCTTTCACATCTAGAAACCCTAGATGTCTTCTTCTTCCTCATACATCCCTAAGCCTAGAAGCTTTCCATATTCAAAATAAACCAAAGTTCCAATTTTAGGGAGCCTTGACTCCTGTTTCCCAAAGCTGTGCCACATAAGCGGGTGACATGGATACTTGTCTTCAGCAAAACCATATGAAGCAAGGTATTTTGATGCACGCTTGAGAACAAGAATGGAAAAATTGGGCACACCTTTTGAGGGTGCCACTTTTACAACGGTCCGACATGACCCTATAAACTGTCCCGACATTGATTCCGGTTAGCATTCAGTGTCCTCTACACCGTTATGACACCCCCTTCAGTGTCCTCTACACCGTTATGACACCCCCTTCAGTGTCCTCTACACCGTTATGGCACCACCATCAGTGTCCTCTACAATGTTAGGACACCACCATCCAGTGTCCTCTTGTTTTGTTCCTCTCTTCAAACTCACGTTGGTTAGTTTCTATCCTCCTTGAGTTTGCGGGGGGCTGTTAGAATTTACCATTCACACTCACCTACTACACTCCACCTACCACCAATTCACCCTCACCTACTCCTCACCTACTACCCAAACCCTCTCCTATATAATGCCACTCTGATTTGTAATACAAAACAACATCAACAAAGCAATCAATAATACATATATTTCAACACTAAGCCTAGAAGCTTTCCATATTCAAAATAAACCAAAGTTCCAATTTTAGGGAGCCTTGACTCCTGTTTCCCAAAGCTGTGCCACATAAGCGGGTGACATGGATACTTGTCTTCAGCAAAACCATATGAAGCAAGGTATTTTGATGCACGCTTGAGAACAAGAATGGCAAATTGAGGTCAAGTTTTATTACTAGGTCTCATATGGAGTCCTTATTACGTCTAGATTACTGTTGATAGTTAGGGTCAAAATTTCTTATTTTGAAGCCAATCCTAATAGAAATATGGGAAGCTTTTATGGATGCACATGATCAATCTATTCAAGATCCTAGACCACCATAAGCCCAACTTACAAGCATATTCTAAATTTCCTAATACACCCTACATCATATTTAAACTTCAGTTTTGATTTTGAACTTCAGGATATGTAAAGAGCTATTAGTTGTACAGCAGCACAAGATGTTGAAATGTGTTATATTTGTTTAAATGCCCACTAACTGATCTCATGCTATACATTTCCACTTAAGAAATATCAGGCTGCAACACATACATTATGAAAGAATACAATTTTTTCAAACAAAGCTCAACCGTGGAAAGCAAAACTGTTCAGTAGTTTACTCGTCTCAGCAATTGTGAAGACATCTAATTAGTGGTGTTGTTGTTTTCGATGTTTCTTCACAAATCAGCATCAATGAAGCCCACATAATCGTTGACTGCCAAAAAATGTTTCCTTATCTTTCTTTTGCTGTTCTTTTTCTTCTTTCCTTTTTCATATATGGCTGTAGGAAACTTGAACAAATATCAAAACTACACAACTGAAACTAAATTTCATCTGTCAGGGCAATCATTAATACAGAGTACAGACACCATATTTGCCTGGGAAGGAGAAAACTAGATGTGCATCACAACTTAACCACACAAGATAGAACATGCATGGTAATGCCTACTATTATCGGATATCAGCATATATGCACAATAAGATACCTTGCAGGTAAACTTATATTTAATTTATGTTAAGAAGGAAACAACAAGCAAATGCTTCTAGATGATTCTTATACTTACGAGCAGACGAGGAAACTTCAGAAGCACCAACCCCAGGAGTGTAAGCAGTTCCGTTTTGAGAAACCTTCATTAAATTTTCAAATGAATTAATCTGGGACATGTTATATGTAACCACCATAGGCTCAAAAAATAGATCAAACTTGAATCCTTACTTGATCAGCAGGCTCAACATCCTTCGATGAATCTGACTTAGTTGTTTCATCAAAACCTCCAAAAGGGCTCTTCTGTATTGTTTCTTCAGGAGAAACATCTACAAAAGCTGCAAATATGAGTTGCCTTAGAATCTGTAGCAACTAGAAATTCAAGATTCACATAATAATTGCCCCATACATGATTGGAAAAATGACGGCTGTTTTTTGTCAATGGTTTTTCATACAAAGAATCATAACATAGTAAGCACCAAACAATGCATGCATGCTCACTTCCCATACGCCCATAACACATAAACAAGTAGCAGATGCTACGTGGGTGTCATTACCAGACTATTGTAGCAGGTGTTACTTTTTTTTTTCTTTTTTTTTTTAACATGTATATAACAATCAAAATTGAAAATAGTAAAATTAAGAAAGATATTATTTGATACCATATTTCTTGGGTCCCTCCTCGTCTTGATCGTATTTGACATCTGTGGGAGGAGGGACCTCCACTTTGGTCATTGGAACGTCTACAGTCACCACAGATTGAGAGGTGGCTGGAGAAGGTGAGGCAGCTGGCCCTGATGTTGCAAAATTTGGAAAAGGAGGTGAGGTAGTTGGCCCTGAGTTTGGGGGAGGTGGGAAAGGAAAAGGGAAAGGTGATCCGGGCGAAAAGCCAGCATTATTGAATTGGTTATTTTGTGAATCCATCTGGCCCATCATAGTCTTGAAAGCTTGTTGCATTGCATATTTCTGAAAGAATCATATTACAACTCACTCAGATAACAAGCATATGAGAAAAGGTCAAGTTCAAAAAATATCTTCATGAAGACACACCATAACAAATTTTATAAACCAATTCAATTGTCGACTTTAAAAAGTAAGTAAAAATAAAAGAAGAAGAAGATAAAACCTAATTTTGAATTAGAATCGAATCATTGATGTGACAAAAATGAATGTCCAAAGAATGAAATTAATACACAACTCTACTAGCAGTCAAAAATTGATTAAATTAGAAAGAAGAAAAAAGTCACAAGAATACTGATTTGGGGGGGCAGCAGCGGCAGAAGCAGCAGCAATGGCTGCTGTAACTGCAACCAAAAAAAAAAGTTAAGGCAGAGGTGTAGACCTAGGGTTTCAAGGGAAGGTTTTGATGGAGCACGGTGCTGATTGATTAAGGGTTTCAGCTTTGAGCTGTGGGGAGGGGAGTAAAGAGGGCAGACGAGAGGGGGGTGGTGGTGAGCACCTGCAGTGGCTGCTGTTGTTGGAGGGAGAAAGGTGCATTTTGGGGTGGTTGATAAGGAGTTAAAGAGGCAGTATGTAGGGACTAGGCTCGCATAGACCATTGGTGGTGATGGGGAGTGCTTGATCTGAAATTCTTGACTTCTACCCTATTCTGTTTCAGAGAGATTCTGCTCACGAATTTTAAAAACTGAAAACTAATACCAAATGATGAAAAATAGACTTGAAATTTTTATAGTAGCTTGAATATGGATTACACTTGAAGTAGGAATTTTCGGGAGGTTTTCAGAATAAAAGTCACACAATCCTCCATCCCAAATTGTTGGTCAATTTTTGGCATTCATGCCTCTTAATTGAATCAATAAATAATGATTTTTATAAATAAAATAAAAAAAAATTCAAATTTTTTTTCACAAATTAAAAGATCTCTATTAGTTCTTGTAATTCCTTATTGAGATCAAGATCTCATTCCATTAGACCCAGTTCGGTCAGATTAGTTCCATAATATAGCTTGCCCGGACCAGGCTTTCAGTTTTTGATCGGGCTGGCCTAATGAATGATCATTATTCAGGAGCAAAAGAAAAAGACTCAAGGGTTTCATAAATAAAGTATTCCAAATCGTTGAAAAAGAATAAATTAAAAGATATAAATAATTTTTTGGAATGTCTGGAATAGTAAAAATGGTCAAACAATTTGGGACAGAGAGAATAATTTGAAACCTGTCCAAAAAACTGTTGTAGGATGGATAAATTTAAAAATATGTAACTCAATGGGTATAACTAAATTTGTACCAAAACAACAGAATTTGAAACCTTTTAGGGTCTGGTGTATCATGCTTTTGGCCTTGCATGGATTGCTTTTGTAATTTAGGAGAGTAGGCAATTTATGAATATGACGCTTAAACTGACCTGTTGGCAAAATAATGGTTAAAATTGAACTCAAAGACCTCATAATTGTATGAGACCAAGTCGAAAAGTAAATAGACACATTAATTAAGGATGAATTCTAAAAATTGGTGATTTATAGACCACTGCAGGTTGACTTGTGAATTTTTGTTGCTGTTAGACAGAACAAAGGAATCTGTCCAGATTGTAAACCTAGACTTGATTTGGGATTTAGTGGGACTTGGACACAGACCCATTCAATTTTGGGCCTAAAACCTCATAAGACGTGAATTAGGAAATTGGTTGTGCCTCGTGTTAGTTGAGTTAAGACGTGTGAGTACGCAATTTAATTTGGTGATGTATTCGCTTTGTAACTTCATGTCATGCCTCCAGAGCAACTATAGTGAGTAATTTTGCATGTGTTTAATTCAGGGCACTAGTTTGTGTATTCTGGCATTAGTTGAGTGTGGTGCTTTCATTTGGACCCCAAGGAAGTAGTGCATGCTATATATTTTTAAAATTTCCCATTCCCCAAGAATTATTTTGTAACTGAAAATGATTTATTAAATGTCTTGAAAAATGTTTCAAAAACCATCTTCGAAATCTATTGTCACATAATATTATTGAATCACCTTAAACACTTGACATAGAATGGTTTGAAAAGAAATGCTTTATTGTATTAAATGTTTTGAGCTTCTGAATCTATGATTGGTATGTATGTACTTACTAGGACCGTATAGAAAGCACACGGGATAGATCCGCCTGTTATGGCAAGATCATGATGACACTGACAAATAGAGAAGGTCCACACTCTGACAGCTCTAGTTCTCAATGATTGAGGGAAAAGGGCTCATGCACCAGATGACCTGACATCAGAGCATCTTAGAAAAGGCCGAGGGTCCATCCCAAAGATGAATCTATGTACAATTATTGGATCCAATAGGTCATGCTACCTAGAGAAATTGATGTCATTTATATGAATATATATGTGGTACTCAAATGTTGATAATAACTATGTTATGATCATACTCCTGTGGAATTTGACTTGATTATTTTGAGAAGAGAGAATGGAAGCATGAATTCTACTATGAAATATCTTTATTGTAAAAACTTGATCACTATAACCTTTTGAATATAATGTATTGTGTCATTGTAGTTGGAACTATACTGTTACTTCAGAACTAAATCCCTTGTTTTTTACACTTACTTACTATCCATATCTACTCACTAAGCTATCAAGTTGACCCATTATTGAACATTTCAGGTGAGAGGAGGACCTAGCTTTGGACTCGTGGCTGGCAGGGACTCTACCTTATGGACATCTAGAACCCTTTTTCATAACATTTTAGTCTTTCATTATGTTTAGACTGTTGCTTTGATGGTATTTAGATATTCGTCAAAGATGTAATTTGTTGTGAGTTGTGTGTCCCACCTGATAGTACAGTGTTTGTTGGGATTGTTAGGGTAGTTTGTGCCCATATGATTCTTTGAGATATTGTGCATTAAGATTTGACTTTTTTAACCTTACGTGTACCTTGGGTTAAGGCCCATTGGTTCACGGCTGGTCATACGCAGTGTTTGAATTGTGACACAAGTGCAAATGAGAACGTAAATTTAGTTGGATTGTTACAAGAATGTCTCGGGTCAACATGGATCTCCAAGTTAGTTAATCTAAAAACTTATAAACCTTTCAACTAGAAATGGCCAAGCATTCAAATATATTTCAATACATTCTTAGATACACATGAAAAGCTATTTCGAGTGCTTGAAAACCGAAAATGCTATGTGGATTTGGCTCAACTCTAGTCAACACTTCGTATTCTCAATGGCTACCTCACCATGTCATGCCAATCAATTCCTTCTTAATGAGAGGAACCATATGCCAGTCTCCCAATAGACTAAAAATTAGCTTGCTTGCAGATTTAGCCATTTTATTCTAACCAAATTTGTTCAACAACCAGAAACTCTTGAAAATATTGGAGAATCAAACAAAAGTATGAAATCACAAAGACAGCCATGAAAAAAAAAATTATAAAGAAAGAATAATAAATGTTTTCCATATTTCCATGCAGGAACAACATATATAAAGCAGACATATGATTTGTAGACATGAGCAGAAGCAAGTGCCATCACAGACAACAGGTACCCAACATCCGACACAGCCACCTTGAAAATCAAGACATGACAACACACCATACATACATATGTAATAGTATATTTATTTCTATATGAAAATCAACATATATTGTTTTTGCTTTCTGATACGAGATTAGGCAGTTTGATAACAATAGCGAATTTGTAACAAATATTAGGTATTTGCCCAATTAAAGAAAAAATTAAATTAAATATGAAATTACTAAAGTTACAAAAGCCCCTTTCATTTCCAAGTACGGACACTTCCATGGAGGAGGCGTGTCGTGTCGAAGACGACACTCTACAAACAATCCTAAAAGCATGTCCCACACTTCTTCAACATGTCATAATTAAAATTTTAAATTCATAATATTGGACACTTTACAAACACTTCTCAAACACCTTGGCGACACTTCGTAGGCAACAATGTCCTACATTCTTTGGAATGCAACTTGTGCATTCTAAATATGCTTTGAAACATTTATAGGATGAATATATCATGTCAATTTCAATGTTCTGAAATTGTTTTGCATTCTTTAGAAATCTTGTTGTTTAAGTTATTGAATATATGGCTTTCTAATTTAATTAGTATTATGTTGTTGTTGTTGTCATTTATTTATTTATTTATTATTACCATTGAACAAACCATTCATATCTTCAACATATAATAAATTTATTTAAAAAATATTTTTAACATGTTCCAAGCGTATCGTGTCATGTACATATTAAAAATTGTCTTGACAGCGTGTCGCATGTCCATGTATCTGCTAATTCTAACTCATGAAAGGCACAAGGTGGTTTATTATAAGAGGTAAAGGATGCTACTTCTTTTGTTCAATTTTCTAACTCAATAAAAGGCATAAAGGTGATGTATTAGGTGAAATCAAGTTCATTATGCACCAAGTGATCATCATGGATGGAAATATCAATAATAAGTTGGGTGCTAAACCAGGATACTTTGGTTGGAGATTACAATTGAATCCCTAAAAGTTTTAATTGCTGACATCAACAGAACAGATGTCAGCAGCAAAAAAATAAGTTTCAACCTCTGATATTTATAATCAATGGCTGCAACAGTGCCTACCTTATTCCACAATTCTTCTTCCCATTACAGCAAAAATTACAAACAAGCAAATTGATTTTAAGGAGCCAGAGGAGATGATGGTGAGATGCTTACATTCTAGACATTGATTTTGCAAGTTCAGGAACATTTAAGTGGTACTATAAAATTTACCTGCAATGTAATTCCAGATAGATTTTATGACACTCACCTTTAAGTTCGCAGCCACCTGCCATGTAATTCAGGTTGTCAAAACAAACGCAGAGAAATGAAGCATCTTATAAAAATCAAGACTAATATTACATAAACAGCATGCAAGTGATCCAAATTCTCACCCATGAGAAAAGTGCAGAGAGACCAACACCAACTCCAATCCAAAATAGTGGAGACCCACTAGAAACACAACCAAAAGAGTATAAAGCATGAGTATATCTATACAGATACTTAAAAACTTAGAAGTCCACATGGAACTCAAGCACCTAGTTAATAATGTAAATAATTGAAGCACAATAAATAAAAGACGAAAAGAAAAAATGATTATTACACATGTGACGGTGGGGGTGGCACAGTAAGTTGTGGGTTAACACCAACTGAAGAGTTTTCTTGGCTACTAGAAGAAGTAATGCTTGCAAAACATTCCCCCCTTAGCTTCTCTAGCACTGTATAACAGAATGTGTCAAAATAAGCAGAAAAAAACTAACAGCAAGAATATAACAAAACAGTACTGATTGACCTGAACAGTAGATGAACAAGATTCATCTGCATAAAAGGAAAAAGGTGAACCAAAGAAAGATGCTGACTACAAAATTATTATCACAATACAGTAGGAAATGACACAAACAGTCTTAAGATATACACACACGCACACAAAGGGAAGTGGTTAAAAGTGAGGAGAGAGCTTTGAATAATCAAAAGATCAAAAACACTTTGTTGAAACCAGTCTCTAGCCAAGTCCACTCACACAAATGCAACAAAAACACATAAAACGGGTTGTTAATAATGTATACTTGCAATTTACACATATCTGCCCACTGTGACCAGCACTACACTCAGATTTTAAGGACTCAAAGAGCAAATGTCCAGCCACGATATTTTAAGCACAGACACTTATAAGGTGGAGTGTCCGTCCAATACGTGTCCGACACCAATACTCATTGAACACTTCTTAACACACTATGGACACTTCCCCGACAGGTGTTGAATACACTTATATATAGACTCAAACACACTTCTAACACTTGGCAAATACATGTGATCATCGCTTAGATGCACATGAAACACATTAAAAATTTGAACAACATAACCTAAGATCTAATGATTAAAAAAAAATAATCTAGAATTATACCTATTAATTTATCTTTCCTTAAACTTTAGAAATTTGTAATATGTTGCATATTTCTATTAACATTGAATGATATATTTAATATATATATATATATATATATAACATGTAATAAATATATTAAACCATATATATTGCTTGTGTCCCACACATGTCATGACTTTAGTGTTTTTTAAATTATCGTGTAGGCGCGTCCACGTTGTGTAACATGTTTGTGCTTCTTTGCCCATTAGCAAGGCCGAACTCTAGGCAAGGCCATACGTTGGCACATCAGACACTGGTGGTGCCTTGATAGCCCATTCAGCACAACAACATTCACTGAGAACGTACTAACCGAGCAAAAGTAATGTGTGTCCCCTAAGAAGCACGGACACGTGACACAACACGAATACGACCAAGACACGCCGACACGACAATTCTCAAAAAATACAGGATACGACATGTGGAGGACACACACATAATATATAATTATATATATTTATTATATGTCACATATATGAATATATCATTCTAAGACAATACAAAAATACAATATAACACTAATTTATATTATTTTTCTTTTATCATTGTATTCTAAGTTATTTTGTTCAAACTTATAATTAATTTTTTGTGTGTCTAATCAATGGACACGTGTATCCTTTAAGTGTCCAAAGAGTGTCCAAAGAGTGTCCAAGTCAAAATTCTTTCCAAAAAAATAAGACATGTTTGTATGAGGGTCAGATACGTGTCGGGAAAGTGTCCGACACGAACATACCACCCTTTGAGAAGTGTTTGTGCTTCCTAGTGTGTCCCAAACCTCATGGATGAGAGCACCTCACAGCAACACTCTAACCTTGGTAGCACCAACTCCAAACACCCCTCGTGAATGCTTAGGGCCCACCCCCAAGTTGGCTATGGAAAATGGGGTTGCCACTTAGTGGCCCATAACGGCACCAAGGAAGGTAGGAAGCACACCTACAAGAAGCTGCAAGCTTTACCAAATGCTAACTGAACAACAAGCATGATGGTCAACTACACACTTCTCGATAGTGGCCTTACCATACTAGAATACTATGATAAAAACACCAAATCATGGGGGAAAATCTGACAGAAATCCAGTAATCACTTGGGCTAAGCAAATCCAATAAATTCAATTTTTATCAGCTCAAAATCTAGAACATAATTACAGTAGCCCTGCCAGTCTTGTTGTAAATTCCAATTGTCATGTCCATTGAGAAGTTCTGAAAGTTCATTAAAATTTCATTATGAGCATGCACAGGTTAGTTGTATCGCTCTTCCCTTTGTTTCAATTCACTAAATTCTCACCACAAGCCAATCAGTTTGTCATCTACAGAAATAGTTCGAAACCTCATCAACTAAGAACCTCTACGTGCAGAACAAAAATCATTCAAAAACTGAATCTTTTATTAAAATTAACTATAAAAAAAAAAAAACCCATTAATCCACGCCTTAATTGAATCCAATAGACACAAACCCACACACACACACACACATATATATATAGAGAGAGAGAGAGAAGCAAGTAGAGAGAAGCAGAGCACCGTTGGTTTTGGGGAGTCGAAGAGGAGGTCGAGCGCGGGTAGGGTGAGATTGAGAGAGAGCTGAGACAGAAGAAGTTGTGGGGGGTTTGTTGAGACAGCTTCTTCTGGGTGTACGAAGCAGATGAGGAAGGCCAAAGGAGTATCTGATTGTTGAGGCCATATCTTTGGCGTTTGCTGAACAACCCAGTACCATTTGGGGGGAAGAAACTAGGGCTAGGTTTTCCATCCTCGGCTACCAGATTTCAAAATATAGCTCCTAGTATGTTAGTCTTTGTAGAGGGAGAAGAAAACTAGAAAGAAAGATGGAAGTAGAGAAGAAGATGGAGGAGGAATATTTAGAGGCTTTTCTCAATATAAGTCTTTTTTACATTGTATTTTTAAAATTAGGTCAATTTTTGACGGAATTTCAAAATTAAGCTAAAGCGTCATTACTATTCGCGCTTTTACTGTTAGGAGACCAAAAGTTGATGAATAGTGAAATCGCTATTTGAAATCGCGATTTTAATTAAGAAAATGCTGTTCCAAATCGCGCTTTTAACATAAAAAAAAATTCTGAAAAAAAGCTATTTAAAATAGCGCTTTTACTGTGCATATAATAATTTTTTTTTTTTTTTTAACACCCTAGTGCGTGGCAAGTGGCCACACTTTGATAGAGTTGACACTAGGGTTGTTTTGGGGATTTAGCTTTTTCTCTTTTTTTTTCATCTTTTTATGTGGTAAAAAAAAATGAATAACAACAATAACGGGTGTTATTCATTTATAATTTCTGTGAACACTGGTAATTAAATTATAAGATTATAAAATAAACATTAATAATTAAATTAAAATATTAATCATATAAAAGAAACTTAACAATGATTAATTAAACAAGAATCACGTAACAACATGTTAAACAAAAAAATTAAAAATATCTAAATAATAGATATATCTCAGTGTGTGATGTGATTAATTATCTGTAATATAATGTCAAAATATAAAAGAACTTACTGTTCAACAATTAAAAAAGTAACTCAAGCAATAAATCCAAACTTTACAGGTTTCTCGATAGTATCATTGTTATGCAAATTTTTTTTTTTCCTATGAGTTGTGATTATAAAAAATAATGTAAGAAATGAAAAGGAAAATTTACCCATAAGTCCTAGTTTTTGAAACGTTGAACCATTTAGTCCTAAAAGTTTTCTTATGCTCCATTTAGTCCCATTTTTACATCAACATGATGTGAATGATGTAAATGATCTAAATCCAAACTTTACAGGTTTCTCGATAGTATCATTGTTATGCAAATTTTTTTTTTCCTATGAGTTGTGATTATAAAAAATAATGTAAGAAATGAAAATAATAAATCCATAATATAGATTAATATAAAATTGGTATTATGTATAAAATAATGTATGGAAAAAAAAAAAGAAAAAAAAAAGGTAATTTAACATTAAAAAAAATCTTAATACCCTTGAAAAAAATTAAGAATAAAAACATGAAATGCAAAATTGATATTAGATTATTCAACTCTATATCACACAGAAAACCGGGAATGGTCACCAATATATTTGTTATTCAACTGTATATTTATTTTTAAGTACAGTATAATCAATAAATAATGTACACCCAGACAGTTATGAAAGTTTGAGGATGTCAAATTGTATAAGAAGAGGCAGATAGCAGAGATATCATCTACTATCATACCTAATTTCTTACATTTCTAAGCACAAACCGCGTGTTTGACTAATCTTTTAGTCGATTCTTCCCAAAACACCACTACAAATATCAATCCTTTTTATATGTATATATATATATATAGAGAGAGAGAGAGAGAGAAAAAAAAAACTGAGAAATTTCAAACACAAAAATTCTATGTATTTTGAAATTTCTCTATGTTTTAAAACCAAAGAAATTTCAAAACTTTACAAATCGGAGAAATTTCAACAGAAAAATTTCAAAACACAATTAAAATATATAATTAAAATTTCAAAACACAATTGAAACACAATTAAAATTTCTCTCTCTCTCTCCACTCAAAGAACGGCAACTACAATAAGCTCTAGGGCACACTCAACAAGTTAGTAAACTATTGACCATAATTGAAATATATATAAAAAATAAATTAAAAAAAGTCATCATAGTGTTCAATGCATTATTCATTTCCAATTTTATCACTGAAAGGTGACTTCAAACAAAGAATATTCAATATATATGAACTTTCTTTGATTTTTGATTTTTCTAATTTGTGATTTTACATCTCAGATCCTCATTCAATTCCAATATTTTACTCGTTCTCCTTTTTATTTGATTGTTGATTTTGCTTTCAAAGTTTTTGTTTTAATTTGGTTTAGTTTTTTTTTTTTTTTCGATGTTCTTCTTGTTCTCTCCATACCAATCTAGTTTCTGTCAAGCCCTTTTTTTTTTCCTTATTCTCAAAACCCTATTAGCTTAATTGGAATCTTTTATGCAATCATGTATTCTAATTTTGTCTAACATTTTCCATCATCGGCAACATTGTCGTCACCGCCAAACTCTCCAAATCAACTTCCATCAACTGCCTATTCGGTACAATATAAAGTCTCAAATTGAACACGTACGAGTGTCTGTCAATGAAGATCGACGAATCATTGAGTGTGAAAATTGTCATAGTCATCGTGAACACCATCATAGCCATAAAGACCGAGAACTTCGAGTATTTGACTCTCAACGAGAGCAAGCACGTTGAATCTACACACAGTAAAGTTAAAAGAGAGAGAATGAGATAGTGAATATATGTAAGGTCCTAGTGTCCCAACGTAGGGAATTGAGGGGAAGTTCTTGGGCTATAAAAGTAAAAATCTAGACCCTTATATTAGCATCGAGACCTTTTATCGGGTGGTGAAATCCCTAGCAGAACTCCCTAGTTAAGCGTGCTTAGGCTGGAGTAGTTATGGGATAGGTAACCCACTAGGAAGAACAAATCTGTGCGGGCGTGGCCCAAAGCAGACAATATCAATGACACGTGAAGGGTTGGGCCCGTTACAAATGGTATCAGAGCTAACTCTCCGAAGTACAGAGTGTGGGCCCCTGGTGTCTCTTGGTATATGTGGGCGGGCTTATGAGCTGGCAAGCTACTACACAGGGATATGCATCCCTAAGGAGGTGAATTTTTAAGCTCCCGGTGTCCCACATCGAGAATGAAAGGGGAGTTCCTAGGCTATAAAAGTAAAAGCCTCAACCCTTCTATAGCATCAAGGCATTTTCCTACGTGGTGAAATCCCTAGCAAAACTTGTAATAACCCCGACCTCTAATTAACATTAATCCATGATATAATTATGTCTAATGAGTAATTAAGTGAAATTCTGCATCATATGTTGCCTTAATTGTGTTTATATCTGTTTAACGTAGAAAGATCTGTTCATGTTTCCGTTTTAGTTTGCAAATTAAACGCCTTATCGGCATCCGATTCAGAAATTGACTTGGTATACGTGTTATTTGAAATTTTTAGAATTTTATGGTAGGTTTAATTAAAATTCAGTTCAAAACAATTAAATTAGAATAAATTAATGCCCAACTGATTAGTTGATCAATAAATTAATTAAGCCATTAGCCAAGCCTATATAAGGCTCCCATATGTGCCTTCACTCATTCTTTTCTCTTCATCTTAACATATTTGAGCTCACACACACAAACGTGGGAGAGAGAAAGAGAGAAAAGAAAATTGAAATCAAAAGCTAAGAATATGGAGGATTGCTAAGAATTGTTGGAGATTTACAAGGAATTTGGGAGTTGCAGCTCATTCACTTGCGCAATTTAGATTCTAGGTCACGCGCCACAAGATATCTGAATTACCTACTCTGTCCGTTTAATTGAAGCCATCTGTTATCTGTGAATAATACCTCTGTAAAGTTATATTTGACTTTAATTATTTTCTAAAAATATGAAATGATCAGTTTTTCTGAAATGATATGTTTTTTTATAAATGAATGATTGTTCGAATTTCTGAAATATATTCGAGGCATCCTTAGCATTATATGATATGCGTCTCTTTATGGACTATCAAAAACGTCTTTATACACATGAGTCATCGGAATGCCTTTATGACCGTCTCTTTATGGGTCATCGAAATGCTTTTATGGTCGTCCTTTTATGGGTCATTGGAAACGTCTCTGTGCACATGAGTCATCAGAATGCCTTTACGGCCATCCCTTCATGGGTCATCAGATTTGTTAACGCTAATGGATATGTCACGTACTATGATATGAAATATATGAACTTTGAATATGAATGCAACTACATATATGAATCTATTTCTGCTTTGATGTCTGAACATGTATAAGACTCAGTTTTCTTATGGACATCATTCAGTAAAATCTTTACTTTGTTATTATTCATTGGGCACCAGCTCATTATTTATTATTATGTATGTAGGTGAGCAGGCACGTGACCAGGCCTAGGGTTGATGGCCTAAGATTTTGTTTTGTCAGCCAACTACCGTGCCTCCCGAGGAGGTTCCTTTTGAGAGGACTGTGTCAAGGCTTTATTTGATTTTGTTCTGTATATCTGTGTTTGGGATAAGTTCCCTTTCGATTTTTTTTTATCTGTGTAATCGGGTGACGTAAGATTAATGAATTTTTGACGTCACATTTAAATATATATAAGTTTGTTTTGAAAAATTCTGTCTCATATATATCTGCACAACTCTATGGACTATGTATATTTGTATATTTGCTCCCGCATCCCCTAATTATATGTTAATCTATTAAGAGGCCTTTGGTAATCCAACGATTACTGGTTGGTTACGACGCTAAACCTATAGGGACGGGTTTGGGTCGTGACAAAGTGGTATCAGAGCACGTGTTATATCGCACACACGAGTCTATATGAGCTATAGAATGTCCTAGTGAGAGTTAGGGGCATTCCATCTACATGTGCGAGTGTGTATTAATTTCTACACATGAGAAAATTGCATTTGAATATGAACACATAGAATTGAAATGACTGAATTCAGATTGATCGAACATTGTAAAAAGGAACTATTATCTATGTTTATTGTCCTTCTGTTTGCTCATAGCAATGGAAAATACAAGAAGTGATGATACAGCAAAGTCCTTAAAGGCTCGCATGAGCCGAATGGAACAGATGCTTGCAGCATTGACCGAAGCAATGACATAACAACAGAGGCAATAACCCTTACCTCCTCTGCTTCTGCCAGTACAAGCTGAACCAGATAACAATGATATTATTAACTTGACCCAGAAGTTCATGAAAATGAAACTACCAACTTTTTTAGGTGGTATTGAGCCATTGAAGGCAGAAACATGGCTGCTTGAGATGGAAAAATCATTTGAGGTCTTTCCTTACTCTGAGACTCAAAAGGTTCTTTTGGCCACCTATACCTTAAAAGACAAAGCTTGGAGATAGTGGTTACTGATTCGAAATATCAATGGAAACATGACATGGGCTCGATTCAATGAAATCTTTTATGACAAGTACTTCCCTCAGTGTTTTCAGGACCAAAAAGTGTATGCATTCCAAGAACTCAAGCAAAGAAGAATGTCTGTAGCTGAGTACGAGGCTAAGTTCACTGAGTTGGCCAGATTTCCTCCTCATATGGTGGACACGGACTACAAGAAAGCTCAAAAATTTGAGGGTGGATTGGATTTAGATATATTTGATCGGGTAGGTGTCCTCAAACTATCTACGTATGTGAACATGCTCGATAAGGCATTGATGGCAGAAGCCATTTTGGTAGCAAAGAATCAAGCTCTAGCTCCAACAAGTGAATAAGGAGGCAAAAAATCAAGATCTAATTTTAAAAAAGGTCAGTCGTTCTCAAAGAAGCAAAATACGAGATCTTATAGTAGTTCAAGCCAAGGTAGTGGATCTACACCGATTTGCCCAGAGTGTGGTAAGAAATACAAGGAGGTTTGTTATCGAGTGATGGAAGCCTGTTTTAAGTGTGGTAAAACCGGCCATATGATGAAAGATTGTCCTATTAGGCTTGAAAATACCAACCGACCAGCGACAAGTTTAGCCGGATCCGCTTCTGCATCAAGAATGAACATAAAAGCTAAAATCGGGAAGGAAATCTTAAGGCAGAGTCAAGTATTTGCACTTGTACCTGGTGATATGCAAAACACCGAATCTGTGGTATCAAGTATAATTTCTATCTCTACTCAGAATACCTACGTGTAACAACCCTCATACTGTTTACTGATTAAGGACTGATTGATTACCGATAATTACCGATTACTGCTAAACGGAACTGATAACTGACTGATTGAAATTGGAATCTGAATTAACTGAGTATATGTTACTTAATTGCATTCTATCTGTTTGATTGTCTGATTATCGGAAATCTTAAGGCAGGGTCAAGTATTTGCACTTGTACCTGGTGATATGCAAAACACCGAATCTGTGGTATCAGGTATAATTTCTATCTGTACTCAGAATACCTACGTGCTAATTGATTCGGGTTCCACGCATTCATTTATATCACATGCTTTTTCTCAAAAATTAACTAGACCCTTAAAACCCATGAATTATTTATTGTCTGTATCTACACCATCTGGAAGTTCTATGGTATGTGCATATGTGTACCCGGCATGTGATGTCGTGATTAGTGATATGACATTGTATGTTGACTTATTACCTTTGGGAATTGATTATTGCGACTGCATATTGGGTATGGACTGGTTAACGAAGTACTATGCAACTATTGACTGTGTGAATAAGTCTATTATATTTCGTCCACCTGGGTTACCTAAGTTTGTGTTTACTAGGAACGGGGTGGTCCCTCTCCCATACTTGATTTATGCCATGAAAGCTGTCAAATTGATTAAAAAATGATGTAGAGGGTATACGTGTTGTGTTTTAACGATGACTTCTGATAATCCCACTGTAGAGCACATCTCTATAGTAAATGAATTTCTTGATGCATTTCCAACTGAATTGCCAGGAGGCTTAATTGATAGGGAAATTGAGTTTATTATTGATGTTATATCCGGAACACAACCGATTTCTAAAACCCCATATAGAATGCCAACTTCTAAACTGAAAGAGTTGAAAGTTTAACTTCAAGAACTTTTAGACAAGAAATTTATCCGTCCGACCACATCACCTTGGGGTGCTCCTGTGTTGTTTGTTGAAAAGAAAGACGGATCTTTGAGGCCGTGTATTCACTACCGTGAGTTGAACAAGGTAACCGTGAAGAACAAATATCTATTACCCTAAATAGATGATCTATTTGACCAACTTCAAGGAGCACAAATGTTTTCCAAGATAGATCTTAGATTCGGGTATCACCAGTTAAAGTTAGGGCAGAAGATGTAGAGAAAACTGCATTCAGAACTAGGTATGGGCACTACGAATTTTTGGTAATACCGTTTGGGGTGACTAATGCACCTGCTGTCTTCATGGATCTTATGAACATGATGTTTAAATCTTATCTGGATGAGTTTGTTATTGTGCTTATTGATGATATTTTGATTTACTTCAAAAGCAGGGAAGAAAATGAGAATTATTTGCGGACTACTTTACAGATTATGAGAGAAAAGAAGTTATATGCAAAATTGTCCAAATGTGAATTCTGGCTTGACAATGTAGCATTTTGGGCCATGTGATTAGCAAGGACGGTATCTCTGTTGATCCTCAAAAAATTGAAGCCATTGTGAATTGGCCAAGACCAACTAATGTGTTAGAAGTTAGAAGTTTTCTGGGACTTGCAAGTTACTACAGAAGATTTGTGAAAGATTTCTCAAAACTTGTTATACCATTGACATAGTTGACGTAGAAAAATATACCGTTTGACTGGAACGATCAACGGGAGTTAGCCTTCCAAAAATTGAAAACTAGACTGGTAACTACACCAATCCTGACTTTACGAAACAGAACAGATGGGTTCTAGATTTACAGTGATGCTTCCTATAAAAGGCTTGGGGTGTGTCTTAATGCAAAATGGGAAGGTAATTGCTTATGCCTCTCGGCAACTTCATCCTCATGAAAAGAATTATCCGACCCATGACCTTGAACTCGCTGCGATGGTTTTTGCTTTAAAGATTTGGTGACATTATCTATATGGTGTGACTTGTGAAGTGTACACAGACCATAAAAGCCTCAAATATTTCTTTATTGAAAAAGAATTGAACATGAGACAGAGAAGATGGTTAGAGTTGATCAAAGACTGTGATTTACAGATTTTGTATCATTCGAGAAAAGCTAAAACTGTGGCAGATGCCTTGAGCTGAAAGTCAATGGGAAAATTGTCATGTTTGCTCACTGGTCAGAAAGAATTACTCTATGATTTGGAAAAGAATCAGATTAAAGTTGTATTGCGAGAACAATGTGGAATTTTAACTGCTATCTCTGCCCAGCCTACAATTATTGAAGAAATCAGAGAGAAACAACTGGAAGATGAGTTCTTGAAAAAGATTGTAAAAGAATTTGACTCAAAATCAAGGTCGGGATTCGTAATTGAGAACAATGTATTGAAATTTCAGAATCGCCTTTGTGTGTCGGATTGTTCTGATTTAAGGAAACGCATCATGATTGAAGCTCACAACTCCAAATTTGCCATATATCCGGGAAATACAAAGATGTATCATGACTTGAAACAAAATTTCTGGTGGCCTAGGATGAAAAAGTGTATTGTAGATTTTGTGGCGAGATATCTACAATGCCAACAAGTTAAAGCTGAACATCAATGACCCGCTAGTTTACTATAGCAGCTTCCAATACCGGAATGGAAGTGAGAGCATAATTGTCTCGCTCCTCTCGAGGTATGGATTCTATTTGGGTCATTGTTGATCATTTAACTAAGTCTACCCATTTTCTGCCTGTCAAAACTTTTTATAATGCGAATAAATTAGCTAACATTTATGTGAATGAGATTATGAGATTGCATGCCAATATCCATTATATCTGACAGAGATTCGAAGTTCACGTCAGAGGTTTTGGCAGAGTTTGCAACAGGCTTTGGGAACTGAACTGCGGATAAGTAGTGCTTACCATCCATAGATAGACAGTCAATCCGAAAGAACCAATCAGACCTTGGAAGATATGCTACAGATATGTGTGTTGGACTTCCAAGGGAATTGTGCGACTTACCTTCCTTTAGCCGAGTTTGTATACAATAACAACTATCATTCAAGTATTGGGATGGCTCCTTATAAAGCTCTGTATGGAAGAAAATGTCGTTCTTTTATCTGTTAGGTTGAAGTAAGCAACAGACCATTGTTGGGACCAGAACTTGTGCAAAAAACAACGAAAAATGTGAAATTGATCCAATAACGCTTGAAAACTGCTCAAAGTCGCCAAAAGAGTTATGTGGACGTTTGAAGAAGAGACAGAGAGTATGAAGTTAGGGATCACGTGTTTATCAAAGTGACTTCAATGAAAGGACAAATGCGGTTTGGTGTGAAAGGCAAATTGGCACCAAGATACGTTGGACCGTATGAAATCTTGAGAAGATTAATTCAGTAGCGTATCGAGTAGCCTTATCACCAGTTATGGAACACATGCACAACGTTTTTCATGTCTTTATGCTTCGGGATTATTTGAGAGACCCATTACATGTGATTGAATCAACTCATGTACTTCTAAAAGATGATTATATGTACGAGAAGAGGCCAATACAAATTGTGAATCGCCAAATCAAAAGATTGAGAAACAAGAAAATCCCATTAGTGAAGGTTGATTGACAGAATCATGGAGGAACGTATGCAACTTGGGAGACAGAAGAAGATATGATAAGTAGATACCCTGATTTGTTTCCTTTAGATCCAGTATTCTTCCAAAATAAAGACAATTCGAGTTTGGAGGACCAAACTCTTTAAGGGGGGAGACTGTAACAATCCCGACCTTTGATTGACATTAATCTAGGATTTAATTATGTCTAATGAGTAATTAAGTGAAATTCTGCATCATATGTTGCCTTAATTGTGTTTATATCTGTTTAACGTAGAAAAATCTGTTTATGTTTCCGTTTCAGTTTGCGAATTGAAGGCCTTATCGGCATCTGATTCAGAAACTGACTTGGTATACGTATTATTTGGAATTTTTAGAATTTTATGGTAGGTTTAATTAAAATTCTGTTCGGAACAATTAAATTAGAATAAATTAATGCCTAATTGATTAGTTGATCAATAAATTAATTAAGCTATTAGCCAAGTCTATATAAGGCTCCCATATGTGCCTTTACCCATTATTTTCTCTTCATCTCAACACATTTAAGCACACATACACAAGCAAAACGTGAGTGAGAGAGAGAGAGAGAGATTAAAGAAAATTAAGATCAAAAGCTAAAAATAGAGAGGATTGCTAAGAATTATTGGAGATTTACAAGGAATTTGGGAGTTGAAGCTTCTTCACTTGCGTAACTTAGATTCTAGGTCACGCGTCATAAGATATCTGAATTGCCTACTCTGTCTGTTTAATTGGAGACATCTGTTATCTGTGAGTAATAACTCTATAAAGTTATGTTTAACTTTAATTATTTTTTGAAATTATGAAATGATAAGTTTTCTGAAATTCTATGTGTTTGTATAAATGAATGATGGTCTGAATTTCTGAAATATATTCGAGGCATCCTTAGCATCATATGACATGCGTCCCTTTATGGGTCATCAGAAACGTCTCTATGCACATGAGTCATCGGAACGCCTTTATGACCGTCTCTTTATGGGTCATCAGAATGCTTTTATGGTCGTCCCTTTATGAGTCATCGGAAACGTCTCTGTGCATATGAGTCATCGAAATGCCTTTATGGCCATCTCTTCATGGGTCATCGGATTTGTTAACGCTAATGGATGCGCCACGTACTATGATGTGAAATATACGAACTTTGAATACGAATGCAACTACATATATGAATCTATTTCTGCTTTGATGTCTGAACATGTATAAGACTCAGTTTCCTTATGGACATCATTCAGTAAAATCTATAGCGATCCTGGTTTTAACCCGACCTTTATTACATTCTGGACTCGGGTTTTATGGTTTAATAGTGTATCTATGTCTTGTTTTCCTTCTTTAACTCTTCGAATTTGAGTTTTGGAACATGTTAGGTGTGTTGGGAACAAGTTGGTTGTTAGTTGGTCTAGATTGTTGTTGCCTAGATTTTGGCTTCTTCACTCAAGTGAGCCTTGTGAAATTTGCTTCTTCGCTCGAGCGAGATTTGAGAGTCCTCGTGTTTCTTTCCCAGACGTATAATTTCTGGGTAGGTGAAGTTTTTCGCTTGAACGAGGCTTCTTGCGCTCTAGTGAGCGTGGCTTATTGTGCTCGAGCGAGCGTGTGGGTCTGTAAAACTTCTGAAGCTTTGCATTCTGCGCTTGAGCGACTCATTTTGCGCTCGAACGAGGTCAGTTGTTGTGTTTGGTCGCTCGAGCGAAGGTCGCGTATATCAGTTCGCAATAGAGTAATTTTTCATCACTTTTTGATTTCCTTTTTTCTAAAAACTCTAATCCGACGCCCTCTCTCTCTAAAACTCGCTCTCTCTCTCTACAAATACTCCAAGATCCAAGCATCTCTACCCTACTTCCTTTGAGAAAAAAGGTGGAGCATCATGTGAGCTTCCATTTTATCTGAACCAAACTTGGTTTTGTGCACTTTTGAGGTTCTTCTTCATCTCTTTTGAGCTTCTACACTTGAGGTAGAGATATTCTACACCTTAATATGAGTTTTAACCTAGGTTTTGTTGTTTTGTATAAATGATGAGATTTGGGGGTGATTTGGGTAAACTAGGGTTTGGATTCAAATTAAAAAGAGGGGTTTCCTATGTTGGGTTCCATAAATGAATATGAGGTTACCTTAGATTAAAATGATGGAATTTGGCCTTGGGGTTAATATTTGGAAAAAGGGAAAAATTGCCCTAATTTGTGTTAAGTAATTATTTTGTATAAATAATGAAATTGATATGAGAAATATGAAATTGGGAAGATATGTGAATGGAAAGTGTAGTTGGATTTGATTAATCACTCATCTATGAAAATTTGATAAATTATCTATTATATAGATCGTATATCTGTTTAGAAATATTTGTTTTTGGACTATCGGTGGAGGATAGCTATGATTGTTGTAGAAATTGCATGAGGACTAGGTGAATTGAAACTTGTCATTTAAATTATGTCATTGAATATGACGTTATGATTGAAACATTGAATATGTGTTGTGGATAGTCATTGTATATGACGATGTTTTAATACATTATATATGTATAATTGTTTTGGAAGAGAAAGGGGATGTACTCACTCGTTTGGAAGGAGATAGGGGATGGACTCCATTTAAAATTAAGTTAGCCGGAATGTCCAGGGTAAAAGTCCGAAATCTTGTGTATATATAGGTGTCGATTCCCTCGGATGAGAACTTCGTAAAATAACAAAATAGAAGTGTTGGAGTGATGAATGTATTGAATTGTGAACCATTGTGTTGTAGTCTCATTTTGGTTGATTAAATAATAATGAATTTGGTTAATAGATTAACCTGAAATGAATGAATGGAAATGGATTGAGGTATAGTTATATATATTGAAGGGTCATGGAAAGAATATAAGTTGGTTATGAATATTAAACATTTATCTGACACTTATATCTTAGTTAAACTTCATAAATTATGTTAGTTTATCTCTACTGGGTTTTGGCTTACCCTACTTAGGAAACCATTTGTAGGTACAGGTGATATACTTCCTCCAAGGACATAGCTTGGGAGGATTTAGAAGCTGAATGATCTATTTTGTTATTTTTTTGTATTTAAATGTTTATTCAAGCCTAGGGCTTTAAATGTATAGAGCTTATGACTCTCTTTTGTTGTAACCAAGTCCTATCTTGGAAAGATGCAAGCCCGTAGGGCATTTATTTTATTGTTAGTAACTTGTATTACATATTGTAGATTCAGAATGAACGTTTTATGAATGTATAATGCGTGTAACACCTTTTATAATATAAACTTTGATGAATGAAAGTATATCATTTTAATTATGCTCATAGATCTTATGAATGGATTATTCTTATTATATTTTGGGGGCGTTACAAAATCTTTATTTTGTTATTATTCACTGGGTACCAGCTCACTATTTATTATTATGTATGTAGGTGAGCAGATACGTGACCAGGCCCAGGGTTGATGGCCTAAGATTCTGTTTTGTCAGCCAACTACAGTGCCTCCCGAGGAGGTTCCTTTTGAGAGGACCATGTCAAGGCTTTATTTGATTTTGTTCTGTATATCTGTATTTGGGCTAAGTTCCCTTTCGATTTTTTTTATCTGTGTAATTGGGTGACGTAAGATTAATGAATTTTTGACATCACATCTAAATATATATAAGTTTGTTTCAAAAATTTCTATCCTATGTATGTCTGCACAGCTCTATGGACTATGTATATTTTGTATATTTACTTTCGCAGTCCCTAATTATATGTTAATATGTTAAGATGCCTTTGGTAATTCAAGAATTACTGGCTGGTTACGACGCTCAACTTATAGGGACGGGTTTGGGTCATGACAGAGCTCCCCAGTTAAGCGTGCTTAGGCTGGAGTAGTTCTGGGATGGGTGACCTACTAGGAAGAACAAATCCGTGCAGGCGTGGCCCAAAGCAGACAATATCGATGACATGTGAAAGATTAGGGTGTTACAAAATAGGTGAGGGACTTTAGGCTACAAAAAAAATATTGTGGACCTCGCCCATTACTAAAAGTTGAAAATGGATGTTAGACT